GCTCGGCAGCCGGGCCGAGGCAGAACGCGGGGCACGGCGTGCCCGGGCGGGCACGGCGCGGTGGGAGCCTGGGCACAGCCGCGCCGTGTGTGCGCTGTAAGGCAGCCCGGCACGGCGGTGTGGGCATTGCCCGTGCCAGGGATGCCTTAGCCGGGCACGGGCAGCACTTCGCACAGCCGGGGCGCCAGCCGGCTTTATCGCAGTGGCATAAAGGATAACTTGGATTAGATGTTAGGAAAAAATTCTTTACTGCCAGGGTGGTGAAGCGCTGCTGGAACAGGCTGCCCAGAGAAGCTGTGGGTGCGCCATCACAGGATCTCAGAGCTGCTAGTGTTCTAAGGGACCTCTGCAGATGATCTAGTCCTACCCCCCTGCCAAGGCAGGGTCACCTGGAGCAGGTTACACTGGAACGTGTCCAGGTGGCTTTGGAACGTCCCCAGAGAGGGAGACTCCACGACCTCCCTCGGGCTGCCTGTTTCAGTGCTCTGTCACCCTCAGCGTAAAGCTCTTCCTCACGTTGAGGGTAAACCTCTCGTGTCTCACTTTATGACCCGCGAGCGCCGCCCCATTACCCCTGTCCTCCCGCGCCGCCCGCACCCCCCGCACCAGTAGCGTGACCGACGGTCGTCACGTGGGGGGGCGGAGCGGCGGCGGGGGGGGGGGGGGGCCGAGGGCAAGTCCCGCCCCCGGGGCGGCAGCCAGCCCGAGCGCCTTCCTTGAGTGGCATCTCGCTCCGCCAATGAGAAGCCGGCGCGGAGGGAGGGGCGGGGCGGCGGCAGCGGCGGGCGGTGATAGGCCTGCGGTGCGGGCTCGGCTCGTGCGTGAGGGAGGTTTCGGCGAGTTGCTGTTGCGGAGGTGCGGGGACTGCGGTGCGGGACGAGACGGGACGGGACAGGACAGGACATGGTGGGCTCCAGCGAAACCGGCGGCGAGTCGTGGCGGGGCCGCTACTACCGCCTGGAGGAGGTGCAGAAGCACAACAACAGCCAGAGCACCTGGATCATCCTGCACCACCGCATCTACGATGTCACCAAGTTCCTGGACGAGGTGGGT